CTTGCTCCTGCTTTTTCCTGTGTAATATTGTCTCTGGGTTTTGAAGGCCAGCTGTATTTTCAATTAGCTGAGAGCTTTATACGTTGATTGTGGCATAGAGAATATATAATACATCAACTCGCTCTGAATTTTGCTGTCTTCCACTTGTACTGCTTGTACTTGTAGCCTCTGCTACTCGTGCAGTTAAAGCAGCGTTGGCTCCCTCACAACATCACTGGCAGCTAGGACAAAAAATTTCCTCCATTGGTTTCATGTTAGTGGCTGCTGCCCACCCAATACCATTCAGTTCCTCACAGCAATCCCACATCACTGTCCACTGGGCCTAGTGCTATCTCCTTTTCTACTAAATTTCTAATAAATTTGTTAGTCTCTAAGGTGCCACAAGTACTCCTGTTCTTTTTCTACTGAGTGCACAGCCTGTGCCTGCTACGACTGCAGAAGCATGAGATTTAGCCTCGCTGTGCCAAACTGGGTTCCTGCAATACTCAGGTAGGAGTTGTCTTGAGCTTTATGATTTTTTAGGGATGTCAGATACTGCAGCTCCCATTCTCAGTGCTCTCTAATGGATTCTGCTTCCAACTCTCTCATGCATCCAGCCCACAGTCAAACAAACAAACACTGGGAAAGAGACAGGATCTCCCTCCACCCCATGAGGCTCCAGTGTCTGTATGTAGGCGTCTGTGTTCTCATCACCATCTGCATAAAAACTGATCATCATAAAGCATCCACCTATAACAAATAATATGTCTGTGAAAAGCCATGCTGAGTCTGGAACAGTCAACAATGCCTGGCAATTGCCAGCACGTTAGAGGTGACTTCAGGAATGCATAGGCTTTTACCAGGATTTCTGCATCCCTCAGGATCTCCCACTTTACTCTCTAATGCTGATCACCATGGAGTACTCATTTTGTAGCTTCCATCTTTCTGGCTGAGAGGGACTGGATGGAGCTCCTTCTACTACTCTTCAATACCCATCCATTCTAGGGGGTCTCTTGACAGCCACTCCTTCTGCCTCCACCACTAGTTAAACATGCTGCCTTGTAGCTCTCCCAGTTCATACTGGCCTAAGCAATGGGATTAGGTCTTGCAGTGATAAGGGCTAACTTGCTTGCCTTGGACTAGTTTGAGTGTAACATTTTCACAATGTTCACTTACTAGCAGGGGCACCATTTAGGCAGGGCGGGGGGGCTCTAACCCCCTCTGAGTTTCATACCTGAGGTCTGCTCACAGCGCACACCCTAGCACTAGATGGAACTCTTCACTGCAACATAGCTTGCTTGTGATATGTGATGAGTTCTGTGCTGCTCCCAACTTCTGCCTTTGGGGCAGGGAATTTGTTTATAAACAGAGGGAGGGTGATTAAGATAACAAAAGGCTTGTTATTAAAGTAAATTAAGGATTGTTAGATGATTCTGAAAGCAGTGCCAGGCACTCAAGTTAAAAGATAGAAAACAAAGGGTAGGAATAAATGGTGTGAATGGAGAGGTAAATAGTGGTGTCCCCCAGCTGTCTGTACTAGGACCAATGCTGCTCAACATTCATAAATGATCTGGAAAAAGGGGTACACCGTGAGGTGGCAAAATTTGCAGAAGATACAAAATTACTCAACATAGTTAAGTCCAAAGCAAATTGCACAGAGTTACAAAGAGATTGCACAAAACTGGGTGACTGGGCAACAAAATGGCAGATGAAATTCAATGTTGATTGATAAATGCAAAGTAATGCATATGGCAAAATATAATCCCAACTATACATACAAAATGATGGGGTCTAAATTAGCTGTTACCCATCAAGAGAGAGAGAGTTAAAACTGGCCCTGCACAGAGCCTCTGGGGGCACCCTAGTCCCAAGGGCAGGGCAAGAGCCAGCTGGGAGGCAGTGGAGGGGCTGTGCCAGATCCACTGCTGTAGAATGGGATGGCCACCCCCAAAAGGAGCTGAGGCCTTGGGGGAGAAGTAGCTTACTTCTTGCCTGAACCCCATTGTGGAAGCAGGATTGGGGGGTGGGCCCAGCACAAACTCCTGAGGAGCACGGAGAGGAGCTGGCTGGTCCTTCCAGGATGGTGGAGGGGTGGTGACAGATGACTCACACTTACAGTCCTGGGAGAGGTGGAGTAAAGGCTCTCAGGCCTCCCTCCCTGAAATGGTCATCACAGGCTGGATCACTGGCCCCTCAGACTGGGATCCGGTTTCTAGCAGAGCCACACATGCCCAGGTGAGGTGGAACTCATGATGCACCTATGAGAAGTGAGGTGGATCACTTTAGACCCTAGTCATGATCAACTGATCCCCTTAAGAATACGGGACCATCTCTTCTTGAGGATCCAGTTTACAAAGGAGCCTGTTACTGGGGAGAGAGATTTTCCTGTCCCTTTGAAGCCAATGTGCAAACCCCTAAATGGGAGATGAGAGGTCCAGAGCCCCAGAAGATAGAGTCTTGATTTGGCTTTCTATCTTCCTCAGTCCTGCTAAGAGCCCCCTGCTGCCCATGTCCCCATCCCCACACAGGAACACAGAGCCTTGACACCTCCAGGACAGAGACTACCTGCAAGACTGCCCTGATTTCTATTAATAGTCCATCGGATTCAAGTCTGTGTTTTATTATTATTAGCATTCACTATGTATTTTTATTATGAGCATTAATATTAGAATTGACTATTTACTATTATCATTCAATATTCATCATTATTATTAGCATTTACCATAGATTGTAATTAGCATTTGCTCTTTATTCTTAGCCGTAACTGCTTATTAGTTATTTTTAATTATATTATTCCTTTCAGGGTATTCTGAGCCCTATTTTTTCTCTTTATTATAAATTATTTATTATACTTTACTACTTTTAGGGTGAGCTGGATGCAGTTGGGGTGATTGGGAAGCAGAGAATGAGGAGCTATTGTGTTATTACTAATGTTTTCTCTGAATTTTACCAACTTCAGAGCTGGTGGGTCATTTTTTCCGCTGTGTGTCTGTTCCAGGACAAAGGAACAGCTTCCTGGAGGAGCAGACACTGAGGACCATGTGTCTGTTGGTGTGAGAGATGAATGTCCAGCAATGACACAGTGAACCTAGGCGTGGGATTGCTGCTCACAGATGGGCCTCTCCTATGTGGTAGTTCACTGTGGGCTTGGGAGTGTGAACTGAACCTTTCAATATCGGTAACAGTTCCTGTATGTAGAGAAAGTGGGCATATTTCCATTATTTGAATTGTGTTCGTACCCACAGGTCTGTCAGGATCAGGCCCCAGGATTGCATTGGGGACTGCTCAAACGCAGATGATTACACAGTCCTTGTGAAGAAGAGGTGGCAAGAATCTGGCTGTGCCCATGTTACATCTGGGGAAGCTAATGACGCTTGTTTCTTGTGTCTAATCCTGAAAAGATGTCAGTAACAATGGAATAACTGTGGGCTGCTTTGTAGTATGGTGTGAAATGCACAGTTGGACCTCATTGTTGCCTTGTGCACTGGGGACTTCATAAGGACAATTACTGTGGTTGTGGCCAGGGTGATTTTCCCCCCATCCACTTGCAGGGGGAAGTGGAGATGTTTGGATCCAAATCCAAAGTTTAAGGGTGCTCAGGTCCAGGACTTTGGTTGGGGACCACTTCTACCCAACACCCCACCTCTTATGAGGAAGCGTCTTTCACCAAATATTCCTCTCGGCAAAGAGGGGTCAGACTGCCCTGCTCATCAACAGATTGGGTCTGGAGGAAGCACTGGTTTCCCAGTGGCCTCTGGTGAGTCACCTTGCCTACTGCCTCCCTGCCCAGTCCTCCTGGGCACTGCTAGCTAGCTCTCTACTTGTCACCCCTCAGCCACCTGTCCCCCTCTCCTCCAAGCCTGCTGGAGCAGAGGGAGCTCTTAGCAGCAGGGCTCTGCAGGGAAGAACTCTTGGAGGCCAAGCTCAGGTCTGTGACAGAAACTGAAGCTGCCATAGCATCAGAGCACCCAACACTGCTCCATTGGGTAACTCCCCCTTTAGGAGAAAGAGGGGCTTAAGCCCTACCATTTTCAGGTGGGATGAGACCCTGCAGGACTAATGGGGACCCTATGGTGCTTCCATGCGCCATGCTGCTGCAATCTGCCCCCACTGCCAGGTGCATCCCCAGGCCCAGGGTAGGGTCCTGCCCTGCTCTTTGTAGGGTTGTTAATTTCGGTTGGCCATATTCCTGGTGCTTTCATCACAGGAGAGAATCTTTAATTAAAGATTAATCTTTAATTCCTGAGCCTCCCGGACGATCCTGGAGCGTTGGCCACCCTAGTTCTCTGCCGCAGGGTTTGGAGCAGTGCTGAGCCCTCCTAGGGAGCATTTCGCGGCCACCGTCCGAGCTGGGGGAGCTGGCCCGGGACCTGGAGGCGCAGCAGGGAGCGGCCCAGGGCCCATCGGGTTGGGCTGCAACCGGCAGAGGAGCAGGGGTGCGGGCGGGGGAGAACGATCCAGGCATGGGACGGGCGGGCTCCATTACGTCACAGCCAGAGCGCGTGCACAGCGGGAGCCCAGAGCCGGACGCTCCTGCGCGTGGCCAGAGCGCGGGGCGGAGCTGGGTGCAGAGTGGAGGTACGGGGGCAAGAGCCACTATGGTTTCCTCAAAAAGCAACAGAGGGTCCTGTGGCACCTTTGAGACTAACAGAAGTATTGGGAGCATAAGCTTTCGTGGGTAAGAACCTCACTTCTTCAGATGCAAGTGAGTATGGTTTCCTCGTCGTGTCACCCCTGGTGATGTCAAGCGGGACCCCCGTGACGTCACTGCTTTGGGGGCGGAAAGGCCTCCCGCGTGGCATGCAGCCCCTCTCCTCGGTAGGACTCAGCTACCTGGGGGCTGGGGCTGTCAGGGGCTCAGGTAGGGAAGAGGAGGTGGGACGCTTCGGGCTGAGGAGAGAACTACATCTCCCACCATGCTCTGCTCGCGCGGCCGCTTCCGGTGCAGGCAGCACTTCCGGCAGTGCGGGGCCGAGCGCAACCGCCTGGGTGAGCGGATCGAGGTTCGGGGCGTGAGGGCTATCCGCGGCCCCAGCTATTTACCCCGCTCTCATGGGTCTGTCCGGCAGTGCCCCAGTAACTCGGGGGGCTGGCTGGTGTCGGGCTGCCGCGGGTACAGGAGGGTGTGGGGGAGGGGGCTCACGGGCATTCGGCGCCTCTGCCGTGTAAAAGCGGGAGCAGCGACGTGTCCGCCTCCACGCGCGCGCGGCACCCTGCGGGGTGACAGCCCTTCCCCCAACTTCTGCCACGATCTAGGTGATATCAAAACAACCTCCTCAGCGCCCGGGCCACATGCGCACCCCAACACACTCTTTGGAGAGGTGCTGGGTGCAGGGCTAAAAGCGGAGCCCTGTGCTTTACTGCTGCTGCCCACTGGCGTCTACCAGCAGCAGTAATCACCGATGTGCAGGACGCTGAATGTTCTGGCGTGATCTCCTGGTAAGAAGCTGTGTTTAAAGGGATGTAGTGTGAACGCTACAGGCGCCCATAAAACTTACAAAGCACCACTTGAAGCAGAATACTATTAGACTGCAAGTTCTTCAGGGTTCAGTCTATACTTTCCTGTGCTGTTTGAGGAGCACGTTGTGGACACTATCAGAATACAAGTAATATATAACTATAATACACACATGCTGCCCTTTTGCACACTCTGTTTTCTCCATTTTCTTTCTGTTCCACATGTGACTGTACTGTAATGTGTTTGCAGTGTACACACCACACGGATAAACAGATGAATGGACACATTTTAAGAGGGATGGGAAAGATTATTGGAAAAGGGCACAATTCTTTTCTGTTACACCAATGTAATTCCGTTGATGTGTATGGGGTGTCATTGATGGAAGTGAAAGCAGAATTTGGCCCAATGTTTTTACATTGCTAAACATGGATATAACGAGAGGTTGTTTTAAATTCTGCCGTGGCAAATTTTACTGCTGAATTCAGCCCTGTTGAGAAGAAAGGGTAGATGAAATCAGCAGTGGATTCATCAGTAACATGAACACTGTTGTTCTGTAACTGGTAGTTTAATAACATGGAGGGGGATACAAAGGAAAATTATTTATGCTTGTAATTTCTTAAACAGCTACTGACATCTAATAAAAATAACTTCGAAGAGCACTATGTTTAGACCCAGTTCTGCTTCGCTTTCATATTTTATTTCTCTACTTTGAAGATACTCCCATCTTTAAAAAATAAAAATGCTCTAGTATAATAACATTATGGTCCCTAACATTGCAGAAACTCCTATTACATGTTGTATTGTGGAAACTTACGTCCTGATCCTGCAATGAACTCTGCATAGGCCAACCTCTACACCCATGTAGAGTGCTATTAAAGTCACTGGATCACTGCATGGGTTCAGCCTTCCATGGAGCTCATTGCAGGATTAGGGCCTTCCTGTAGAATGTTGTTGTTTCTTTAATGCATTTTTCACATAGATATTTGTTTAGCAATTTCTGTTCCTGCTCTTGTTTCTTAGCATTTCCTAACCTTTGACTGATTGAATTTGTGATTTTAATATTCTTTAAGGTAGTTTTTTGAATCTATAATTTCCTAGGTATAACACCCTCCTTCCCCCAAAATTCCATTTTATGGAACCATATTGAATCCCCCACCTGCATAGGGCATCAGCACGGGTTAAACACAAGATTTTTAGACTCTACTGCTTGAACTAAAGGGTTACCAGATAGTGTTAGTAGATTGCTGTCCTCTATGTGAACCTACAGCTAGAGGGGAATATGACACATTTTCCAGTGTCTTGAACAGTTATTTGCTAAATAGCAGTGGAATGTTGGGATTCGATTGTCATCAGACGTCACCAGTGTGGTGCTCTGCTTTATCCAATGTTGATAACAGTTGGCTGCGTGCGTGTGTTCCCTCTGTGTGCTGCCCCGGCTCTGCAGATCGCTGACACAGCAGACCCCGAGAGAACCCCCAATGACCACAGACTCCGATAAGGTACGAAGGCACCTGACCAGGTTTATTGTCAAACGAAGCACCATAATAGTTTACCGCAGACTCTAGTCTATAGGACATACTACGAATATGTGCTCCTTGACAATGGACCAGCTCAGTCAGTGGTGGGACCCTCCACTGCCCCCTAGGCCAGACAAAGATATCCACTCAGAGGTGCATTCTTATTCACAGATATAAACAAGTTACACATTACTGCAGATGCATTGAGGTACAACCCCTCTATATGTTAGGGTACTGCCTCTCTCCTGGTACATGTTGGTACGAACAAACAAGTCTATCCATCATATTATCCTTTTGACCCTGTCTTTAGGATGGGTCAGCCTTTTCCCCATTATCTCTGTGGAATGTGTTCGTACCGGGATGTTCTGGTGCCATCCTGGCACATGTATGCATGCAATTAGCAGCCTTCTTCTTGCCAACTTCTGTCAGCAGGGCCTGCCTCTGACTCACAGCTTAACTTTGCTTTATGTTAGCAAAGTCTTGACCATTACTTTAGTTTAGACCTTAGGTCTCATACTGGGCCTCTGATACAAGGGTTTATGTTTCAGGGCCTCATCTTACTACGTTCCCACACTTTTTGTCTTTTTATGGGGAGGATGTTTGCCCATCGTCCCGGAAAAGCATAAAGTTTGGACTAAAGATAACTCAGTGGGCTAAACGCTTTTATGTGGTTACCTTATTTTACCATTCATACACTCATGCCCCACCTGTCTTTAGTCTGCACATTCCCTCGTACAACTGATGGACAGATTTTATTTTCCGATTGATTGTAGTCCCTTATGGTGGGCCTGGGAATGTTAGGCCTGGGACCATGACTGAGGAATGTAGTATTATGATTGAGCCTTAGAGGCACTCCCAAATAATTAATATATATGAATTATATGGATATGGCATATATATTTGTAGCGTATATGGGTATATATGTGTAGTATGTATATGTAGATTTCATAGATTCTAGGACTGGAAGGGACCTCGAGAGGTCATCAAGTCCAGTCCCCTGCCCGCATGGCAGGACCAAACACTGTCTAGACCATCCCTGATAGACATTTATCTAACCTACTCTTAAATATCTCCAGAGATGGAGATTCCGCAACCTCCCTAGGCAATTTATTCCAGTGTTTAACCACCCTGACAGTTAGGAACGTTTTCCTAATATCCAACCTAGACCTCCCTTGCTGCAGTTTAAACCCATTGCTTCTTGTTCTATCTTTAGAGGCTAAGATGAACAAGTTTTCTCCCTCCTCCTTATGACACCCTTTTAGATACCTGAAGACTGCTATCATGTCCCCTCTCAGTCTTCTCTTTTCCAAACTAAACAAACCCAATTCTTTCAGCCTTCCTTCGTAGGTCATGTTCTCAAGACCTTTAATCATTCTTGTTGCTCTTCTCTGGACCCTCTCCAATTTCTCCACATCTTTCTTGAAATGCGGTGTCCAGAACTGGACACAATACTCCAGCTGAGGCCTAACCAGAGCAGAGTAGAGCAGAGGGGAAGAATGACTTCTCGTATCTTGCTCACAACACACCTGTTAATACATCCCAGAATCATGTTTGCTTTTTTTGCAACAGCATCACACTGTTGACTCATATTTAGCTTGTGGTCCACTATAATCCCTAGATCCCTTTCTGCCGTACTCCTTCCTAGACAGTCTCTTCCCATTCTGTATGTGTGAAACTGATTTTTCCTTCCTAAGTGGAGCACTTCGCATTTGTCTTTGTTAAACTTCATCCTGTTTACCTCAGACCATTTCTCCAATTTGTCCAGATCATTTTGAATTATGACCCTGTCCTCCAAAGCAGTTGCAATGCCTCCCAGTTTGGTATCATCCGCAAACTTAATAAGCATACTTTCTATGCCAATATCTAAGTCGTTAATGAAGATATTGAACAGAGCCGGTCCCAAAACAGACCCACCTTATAGCCAAGCATAACCATGTTTTTCCAATCTGGTGTTGTACTCTAGCCCTTTTACTTTGGTGCCATAGATAGAAACACATTCCTATTAGGGCAATTGCAGTTATCACCTGTATCATCATTAGTAATAGGCTGAGTGTTTTGAAATACTTGGATAGGCATTGTTATAGTATATTCCACAGTATTATGTATATGAGAAGTAAAACAGAAATTTGGAGTAGTGAGACTACAAATGAGGCCGTTATATATAAATGTCTTGTAATTAGTTACTGGCCGGTACTGTGCATTCATGTTATGGGTTACCCTTAGTGCTGGTTGTCACTCTTTGGTAAGCTTTGCTGGGCAGGAAACAGGAATGGCTAGATGCTCTGTTCCATGGATTGCATTGCCCCATGATACACCAGTAGATGATGTAGATCCAGTTGTTTTTATGTAACCTACTGAATGGACAGTAACCAGTTTATCAAATAGTGCTGTGTCAGGATTTGGTATTGGTACCCAGACACTGAACAAAATTGTTTTGAATAACATGTGCCTCAGTTAGGATGCAGTGTTACTGATCCCAAATTGTGACCAGTACTAACGGGGAATTTATATACCTAATTTGTAATTTCTGTATAACAATTTTTTTTAACCAATTTGTTTCTCCTTGCCTTCATGTTGTTTGCTGTCATTAGTTTGTTGCTTTTTACCTGTGTGTTGGCTAAACAGTTTAGCAAGGTTATGCACATTGTAAATGTTGCACAGCAATAATACAATACAGCAATAATACAGTACAACGATAATACAGTAGTACAGCAACAATACAGTTGTTTTTACACAGTAACCAAGTTGAAATTAAATGACAGTTTATCCTGGTCCAGCTAGTTGTTTTTAGCTGATTGTTAACTTAATTGTCCATATATGGTAGATAGAGGTGTGTTTGACCAGTCTCTGATTTATAAAGCACTTCACTTTTCTTTTCTTGATCCTTGGGGGTTTCTTCACTGTGTACTGATATCTTCGGGTGTCTTCAGGGTGTCTTTGGTCTGTGGGATGCAACTTAAACTACTTTTGTTAGTTAACATAGTAAAGTTTTTTGTTTTGTTTTTGTTTTCAGTCACCCAAACTTAATACAAAGTTTAACTTAGTTTGTTTACAATGTAATAGGGACAATGTAATAGGGACCAAGTCTTTTATAACACAAGCTATGCTTTTGCAATTGTTGTATAAACATTCATTTTCATTTGAGGTGCATTACTAATATTTTATACTAATGTAATGCTTAACTGCTAAAATAAATGCTTACAATCTTCTGTGAAAAGGTGTATTGCTTTTTTCCCCTGAACATTCTGTGTTAGCAAAAGAGTTAATAACATAATTTTTACCAACCTTTTTAGAGTTAGTTTGCTTGTGATACCAATTTCACTCTTGTTAACTGTTTAGAACAGCGGTGGCCAACTTGTGGCTCCGGAGCCACATGCAGCTCTTCAGAAGCTAATATGCAGCTCCTTGTATAAGCACCGACTCCAGGGCTGGTGCTACAGGCGCCAACTTTCCAATGTGCGGGG